TCTTAACCATGGGCAAAAACATCTGGAACCACTTATAAAAACCACCCCGTATCTGCATGAACTTTTTTGAACCCCACTGCTATTCCAAACAACGCGTTTTTCTGGACCATTCCAATTCGCCTCGTAATTGTAGGGGTGCGTCTGCGATATTACATTGACCGCGAAAGCAGCAACGGCAAAAATACACATTCGTGCATCAACACGGGCATGCCCGCAGACGGCGTATAAAATTGCGTGCCGATTACACAAAGAGAACCCAGTGTTTTGACTGCGAACATGAAAAATCAGCCGATTACAACACTCCGTCCGGAGGTCCTGACCTCCTTCACGGAGTAATGACTAAATAAAAATGATTTGCACACTCCTGTCAAATTAAAATTAATGACAGAAATTTCTGCATTGTCAGTGAGTAGAGTACAATCAATTATTGGTAATTACATTATAGTTACACAATAATGAATATAACATTCTTCTTTGTAATCAATGCTTTCAGAAAAATCTAGTACTATTTAAAAGGCCACTTACTGGTGTTTGCATAATATCCTGGTGTACATGAATTGCACAATGAGGCATTAAAGCCTGAACAGTTTATAGTGGGTGGATTGAGAGAACTGAGTGGGAAGACTTCTGTTGTTGGTATGGGAGTGGAGGCCGCTATAGTGGAGGAGTTCACCACTGTAACCTCGGTCGTCACGTTGAAAGTCTGGCTCACAGTACCGTGGAGTTGGAGGAATGCAACAGCTACTAGAACTGCAAAATAATTAACATGGATTCAATAGTCCAGTATCGACATGAACATGACAGCCTTAATTTGGCCTTATTAAAAATGCATCAGTCACAACTTCTGTATCTGTATAGCCAGTATAACCGTCCTTCAGTGTAACACACCAGCTTATGCATAATTTGTGAAACTTTGTGGTTTCATTTTACGAAATGAGGGATAGGGAGGTTTTTGTGGACTTTTATTTAGTTCAAACAATTCTGTATGGCATACTTGTGGTGTCATGATGAAGAAGGGTGTGGAGTGTGGAGAGGTCAAGGCAAAAATAAAACCACTACAAAAGCTTTTCATGCTTTGATTGAGATGATTCAGAATCAGATGATGAGTGCACATCTCTTTTTTGCCATTCATATGGCACTACTAAAAAAACATAATTGACTATCCCCATAACTATGCATTCCTGAGGGATTTTATGGCACGTGTCTTTGCATGAGGGTTGGCACGTCTGCAGTTTATCTGTTTACTCAACAAGTCTCATAGGTAAAGGCCACTTCTGAGGTTTGATAGTTTCTAATGAAAAACAAAACACCCAAAACCACTTTTGACACCAACAAAACCCCAATTACCACATATATGCTTAGCAGCACTCGGAGAGTGTGCATATATCAAGTTAAATGCAAACACCCCTCCCCCTGCGAGGTACAATGATGAGTAAACAAAAACTAAGGAAGGTTATGTCAACACTTCGAAACCCTAAAAAAACTACAATAAAAGTTGTTTTCTTACCATTCAGAACAGCTTTCAAAGAACCTGGAACTCTTGGGTTCATCCAGCCAACCATCTTTCATCTTGAATGCTCCACATGCTTTGGAAAAGTTACTTTTTGTCTTGAAATTCGCTGATAAGTTTGTCACCTTTCTAATGCCATTTCGTCACAGATTTGGGTCATATGACTGAAGAACCAGGTGACCTGACGCTTTACTTCCGGGTTATGACGTAACGCATTTTTTGGTCATTCATTCATCGACCGACTTGGAGAATACACGAGTTCTTGGTTATATACCTTTTTGGAAATGTTGAGAAAAAACTGAAATGAAGATCTAGGATTATGAAAACATCTAATTCACCACAAAACATATCGAAATGGAATGGAAGGAGAAGAAGAAAATACTATTATTTTGGACCAATCCATTAGGATAGGGGGTGATAGAGTGGTGTGAAAATTTTGGTTTTCTCTCGATTTCGACATCCAAATTTTGAGCAAACTTGACAATTTTTGCGGATAAAATTTCAGGTTTAACATAATTTCAGACGCGTTTTGGGGTGATTCTTTTTAATGGCTTCACATCTTTGCTTCACATGGAAAGTTCATGCACTGGTCCCTGCCCAACAATAAGGTTCAAAGGTTATCAAGATGGCGGCGCACATGTTGTGAAATGCCAAATGTTTATCTCGCATCATATATTTTCAGTCATATGTTGATTTTCCCAAAATCTGTGGCGATGCTGGGTATTCTGCGGAGGGCAGGGTGTGCAAGGTCCATGTATGGATGGAAAAATACAAGGATAGACAATGGTAACGGTTACGTTTTCCAATCGTAGACGATAGAACTTGGAAAGTAGCACGCATGCATGTGCATGTGATATGTGCGATCATGCGACTGGGCTAGAAGTAGCGTAGCAACGTAAATATATATGCATCATATTCTCGATCTAACGCTGTCCACCAGATTTGTTCCACGTTTGTTAACAAAAATATCCACGATCCAAAATATAGGTTGCTTGACTCACTTTGCATTTGTTTGGATGAGTATGTCTCTGTGCAGATGATTGTGAAAAATAGTGATAGGTCCATGGTGTTCTGAGCAGCGTGTTCCGATTGGTTCAGATGCATCAACAACAACATGCAGGAAACAGCAATCGATCATTTTCCTCTTTTACAACAGCAGGTAAACATCGTGCATTACATGTCCTGAGAACACCCTGTCAGCAAAGTGCAGTTTGGAAATCCCAGGAAGGTGGCGTTGCTCATCCAGTCAATCCTCAGACGAAGGGTTGAGAAAAGCACAAGCCATCGCGA